TCCCTAAGAGCAGTCTGAAAGTAACTCCTTGCTGTGTCCTGTGGCTGTCCTGAGTAGCTACAGCATGAATTTAACACCATTTTCAGTACTTTCATTCTTACCTGTAGGGACTCTGAGTAGTAAGAGAGGCACCGACTAAAGTTTTATCACTTTTACTCTGCTGCTGCTTCAGCCAGCACTGTGAAATTAGGAAGACACTGGTGCTTCTGATCACATTTGGAGGATTTTGGGTTAACAGTTGTGTATTCAGAGCTGAGTTTCACTCAGTGCAAAAGTGCTGCTGAAATTGTGACGTAATTGTGACAACTGCCAAACTGCTTTTCCACCTGCTGCTTTAGAAAAGACAGAGTTTTCCAAAGGGGTGGGAAGTAAATGGGTAGGAAGTGAGTTCAGTGCTATGTGATTATAGGAATAATAATCACATTATTATGATGTGGAAAGGTATTTTTGAGGAATAGTATTCTCATGAGAAGCACCATTGGGCTTAACTTTAATTCTGCATTTCTTGGCCTCATGATGAAGCTTGCATTTTGACATCTTTTTGGTGTTTTCAGATGCATTGGTTGAGGTGAAGCATGGGGCGGTAGAATGGCTGTATGTGACCCTGTGTGCTACCTGGTTGTGGGGAATGAACAATGCTGGATGTTACACTTAGGTGTGCCGTACTCTCTGCAGTGAATCTCCCTGTTCTCCAGAAAGCGTTTGCACAAACTGGAAAAGAGTAGAACAAACGCAAAATTAATTTTTTCTTTGTGGTAAAGTCGGAGGTGAAGTGATGGATCTGCACAGCAGTGGAGAAATACTTAGGTTTGATAATAGGGGAAACTTCCTCTCAGTAAGGATACTGAAGCACTGAAATAATTTTTTGGGGCTATGAAATCATTGGAGGTTTTTAAGAATAGATGAGAGAAGCACTACTCAGAAATCATTTGTGCATATTTAATCACACCTTTAGAGGAGGTTGGGAAGGAAGAATTAAGCTCTGGTGGACCCCTCTAACCTCATAATAAGGTCCTGAGGGCTAAACTAGTAGCTATAGTTCAGACCATTAAAACACGCCTATCTGAAAGTTTTCCACTCCTGTTCTTGTTTGGATTATGAGATCTGACATTGCTGATACATAGCAACTTGACTGCAAACTATTAATTTGTTACTGCATTCATTGCTTCCCCACTGAATGGAAAAGTAAGTATAAAAACTTAGGTAACAAATAGTAATTCACACGTAGAGCACAACAGTCATTTAAACCACCTATAAAGATACTGAATGTATAAAATTTTTCAAAATAATTCAAGCAAGGTGTTCCTTTCTAACAAGGTGTTTTTACTCATCTACTACTAACCGGATGAAATCCTGACTACATTTTAAGACAATGCAAGATCAAACCTATTTATTCTGGTACAATTTTAAGAACAAACTTTTGACAGCATGGGTCTAGCTAAAAAAAAAAATCTAGTGAAATAGGAAGCTGTCTGTTGTCTAGAATAAACTTTTAAGCACCACTTAAGGAGCAGAAAAGCTATTATTGCTGCTTATTCTTAAATTGGTTTAAGAATAAAAAGTTAGGGATAGAGATGGCAAAATGGGTGATATCTAACGTGTCTTGAAAGAAATCAAGTATTCTGCCTGGTGATCTCTGCATGCTCTGCATACCTTTACAGGAAGCAGTGTTGTGTTTGGAGGAGGAAGAAATTTTTTTCATTAGTTTTTTTATACAGATAATTATTTTGTATGATAATAGAATATATTGAAATGTCCTCTGCTTATCACACTGGAAGTACATGCAGCATGTGATAATAGATGTTGCGTGGGGAGATGTTTTAGATCTTTGTACCTATGAACTAGCATTTTACCCTTTTGAAATCAAGGGGAAATACTGTGCTTTTTCTTTATGGAGCTACTTGCAAGTATAAATGGTAAGGTCTTGCATTCAAATTTTTTCATAACTGAGGTAAAGCTATTTATCCTTCTTTAGGTGTGCAGATACTACCTGAAGTTCTAAAAAGCGGTATTGTCCAGTAATCTGAATGTGAAAATGAAGTACCTGGAAGCTGGAAAGTTTGTGATGCACAGTATATCTGTTCTTGAGAACTGAAGAGGCTTTATGTAACTTATATTAAAATCTAATGTTGTCATTGACTGAAGTCAGTGGCTTGATAGGTTTATTAATGCAGGCTGCATTACTACATTTTTAATGAAAGCTCTCAATTTGATGGCTAGAGCAGAAGAGCAAATTCCGCTGCACTTCACAGCGTATTAACATGGTACCATTATAATACGATTTAAATGTTTAGAAAATGATGCCGTTCTTAGATTGTGGTGATAGATACCATTTTTTTAATGTTTTGTTTGCATTGGATAAAACAGGCTCCCCTTTTCTTTGAGGAAGGAGCCAGGACCTTAGAGTGCCTGGTAGAGCAGACAGAGCAACACGTGCCATCTAAGGTGCCGTGTTTCCTTATGCTCAGGGCCAAGCTGCTCTAACTTCTGAGCGCCTGTCTTAAGTGGCCTCTTCCTCATATGTTTTCATAAACACCTTATGGAAGGTGTTTCCAACCATACAGATGTTCAGATAGAAACAAAACAATATTGATCCTTGAAGAGTCTTGTCTGACCTGCCTAGTGGATGAGGGAAGGGCTGTGGATGTTGTCTACCTGGACTCCAGTAAAGCCTTTGACAGCGTCTCCCACAGCATTCTCCTGGAGAAACTGGCAGCTTGTGGCTTGGATGGGTTTGCTCTTCGCTGGGTGAGGAACTGGCTGGATGGCCGAGCCCAGAGAGTTGTGGTGAATGGCGTTAAATCCAGCTGGCAGCCGGTCACAAGCAGTGCTCCCCAAGGCTCAGTTTTGGGGCTAATCATGTTTAATATCTTTATCGATGACCTGGATGAGGGGATCGAGTGCTCCCTCAGTAAGTTTGCAGAAGACACCAAGTTGGGTGGGAGTGTTGATCTGCTGGAGGGTAGGAGGGCTCTAAAGAGGGATCTGGGCAGGCTGGATCAATGGGCCAAGGCCAACTGTATGAGTTTTAATAAGGCCAAGTGCCGGGTCCTGCACTTCGGCCACCCACAACCCCATGCAACGCTACAGGCGTGGGGAGGAGTGGCTGGAGAGCTGCCCGGCGGAAAGGGACCTGGGGGTGCTGGTTGACAGCCGGCTGAACATGAGCCGGCAGCGTGCCCAGGTGGCCAAGAAGGCCAACAGCGTCCTGGCCTGTATCAGAAATAGTGTGGCCAGCAGGAG